CCAGGATAGGCAACTAAAGTCAGTACATAAATTGCATTTTGCAAAATTTGCATGTGATGGAGAAAGTAGTTGTTCAACTCCACTAATAACCTCTTTTCGTAGAAAACTTGCTAAAGGCCAATCGAGTCACTTGGTCGTCATCTTTATGACGGAAGTCTCGTCCACTTAAAATTCTAATAACCTTAGACATATAGCCAAATAGAATGACATTTGTGCACACTTTGTACATTAGGTATGTATTCGCTTCATGTTCAGCACAGAATACATACCCAATATCCTCTTCTGTGCGCAAATGATCAATAATTTTCTTCCTGATTCCATAAGCTGTTATGAATTTAGGAAGCAGGAAGAAAATAACATTAGCTATATGTCTATAGGCTATAAAAAATGTAGTGGACGGATACATCAGATGTCTCTCCCTCATAATATACTCGCGATGTTTTATGAGTATATTATGAGGGTCATCTTCCAACGACTCTATTATTTTGCGACAGTTGTTGCATTCCACTTGGGATAAAATTTTTCTTGCAACAACCCCAGCAACATACGGAGTGGCGAAATCGTGGGGATTGTTGCAAACAAGGCCTTCCGGTGTTGAGTAAGTTGCCACCGGAACTCGCAAATGTTCTGCAGAAAGTGGCGCGCTGCGGGTCTCAACAAAAGATTTCAAATTTGCTAAAATTCCTGTTGATTCGTCCGGCTCACAATTTGCCCCAAGACAATGTGATGACACAAAACCATCTATAAGGAGGGATTTGGCGGAAGACATAAATGCGGAACAATTAGGACGGGTGTTTCTCGCACCATGGCTTCTTATACAACTGAAGAAATTTTCGACCGGATCTTGGTTGAATGATCTAGGGGCAATATACTTAAAGTTTTTGCCCCTTAGATCATTCCAGATGTATAAGAAGCCACGCAACGTAAAAACAAGGTGTTTAATGGATGGAGTGACAGTGGAGTTGGAAAATGACATAGACTTTAACAGGGGAAGGGCAACGGACACCCAAAACGAGACATGATTAGACTTTTGTGTCACCACACTCCTCATTGGCTTTCCAGGATGAACTGCAATCTGGCTTCCGTTCAAGCTGTCAAACAGTTCATCCAGGAACAAAAAGAGGTCAGCCGTTTCGGTTGCCTTAGGATCTAAATAGTGAGCCGAAGACTGGTTCAAATCAACACTCATTTCAGCCCTGACCTTCATGGCAGATGCCACAGTTCTGCTGAACACTTGCGTGCAATGTTTGACACTCATTTTCTTTAATTTGCTTGCCAACACATGTTCATCCGTTAGCTTGCAAATTAAAGAAAAGCGTGCCATATTGCTGTCTATCCGATACAACTGTACCAAATGGTCCCAAGACGCAACTTTGCGGACCCCGTCTTGAACGAAATGGAGATCGGCCTTTAATAATCCGTTCTTAAAGCCTTTAAAAAGGTGAGGAACATCATATAAATGAACGATCTCCACTTTGTCAACGAGATAACCCTGGTATCGATTATCAACAGCTTTCCTTATACACTGGCGCTGTGTATCTAATAAGCGACCTAATTGCCGCTGCATTAGTCGCTCCTTGGTCGGAAACAGTTGTCACTATTGACAAACCTGTTTCACGAACCTTGCGAACTACAGATTTAATTAAATTAATTAAATCTGCAGTTTGCGTCGTGCCTTCGCAAAAAGTGAAACAAATTGGTTGCTTCCACTTTTTGCGAACGCCCTTTAAAAGAAAAACTAATGCATGATCTGCAAATTTCGGTCTGCGATCCGCTCCACCCAGATCTACAAATTCATCTACACAGTCCAGTTTATAATTATATTGAAGACCAAGTTGCAACGCGATTTCGTCAAACATGAGCACACAATGCCTGTCTAACAATGGTAGTTTACTCACTCGTACCTTTAAATGCTGGAACATATGGTTATTAAGTCCAGTATGAAAAGGTATATGTTGTAGAACCTTTACAAGCGTTTTACGAGAAGGTAAACTAAACATTTTAGACAAGAATCGGTAATCCTTTCCGCTTTGCTTGAATATTGACAAAGCAAAAATTTTATCCTCAAGTGAAAACCGTCTACCGCGCGGTTTCAACTTTTGATTTTTATTTTGGGACAAAATAAAATTTCTTGTGTACTCATTCACATTTTTAAAATTTTGCAAAAGGGCGGACTGCGATTTTTTAAGGTCAGATTTTAACTTTTTGTTCCTCACCTCTTGGCGATGGACCAACTTCTTCAATTTTTTTACGCCCTCATACAAAATTTTGTTGCGAGGTGACAAATGCTTCTGCTGTCACCTTGCAACACCTCTGTAATTTTCACTACTTTCAAAGTCACTCTCCTTACACCTGAAAAGAAAATAGTAGTTTTCGATACAAGGGCGAAAAATGTCGTTTTTCGAACGACGACGGCGTTTGACACCCGAGACGAAGTCGAGGTCGTATCCGTCAGGATTTCGAAAAACAAATTTTCGCCTTCGTATCGAACACTATTTTTTATTCGAATGAAAGATTACACGAATAATAAAATGCATCGATTTCATATTTAAAATTTTGTGGCAATGTCATTTTTTGAAGTTTGTAATTAAGTTTAAGTACTTTTTCAACTTGAAACACCTGTGGTCTTGGGATGGTGTATGCATGTTGCATAATCTGCATGACATTTGCGCTTCTTAAAAAGATCGTGTTTTACGTGTGACAACATCCCAAAAGTAGATAAGTAGGCCATTAAAACGATTATGAGACTGAACTTATAACAAAGGTATAATTTACAAATTGTAAGTAAACTTGAAAATAGGATCAATAGTTGTTGATAAACCTACGTAACTCCTTAAAAAAGCATTTCGGTTATTTTTAAATAAAAATACTAAAAAATATATAATGACAGTGGCAAGTTCAAAGTGTCACATTTACTTTGTCGCACACTGTGCGGCAAAGCCGGTGCGTAAAAGTAAAACAAATGAACGCTAAAGAAAAGTGCTTCTTTTTGATCATCGCTTCTGTTCGAAAAATTGCACTTTTTGATTCATTCGAATAAAAAATATGTTACAACATTGAAGAATTATATATTATTAGTAGGATAATATGTACTTACTCGAAACTGTGGCACTTGCAGCAATCTTACTGGTGACAGCTGTAAAAGGGCGGTCACCGGGAAGAATATCATCTACGCACATAAATACAAATGATTAAAGTACTTTCATTATAATACAAACGTACCTTTAAATTTTTTCAGGGTGCACAATTCAGGTGCTGATCCTCCCCTGCTCCCCTTGGAAAGAGTGTCCTTTGAGCCTAAAACTTGAAAGGTTGCTAAATTTACATATCACTTTCTTAAAATTAGTACTTACCCGGAACTGTGGCGATATTTGATGTCACATGAACATATTCATGCGATGGTCCAGGAATATCGCCCAGTTCGACTATTGGTTGCACCAAGCGTCTTTTGCCAGGATATACCTTGGCTGGCTTAATGACGGACTCCAACGGACTCGTATGGGTTAAAATCGTGTTCGACTCTACCATACGAATACCATCTGTAAGCATGAAACAGGCAATCATGAAGTAAACAAATGTAAATAATTTTAAATACTAAAATACCTTGATTTTTCTCGGGAGTTACACATCCCTTAGCCGATGGTATACTCTCTCGATAGAAGCTATTCTCTATGGAAGTTGTGAAACTTCCATAGAGAATAGCTTGGAAACCTTCGAAATATATGTAGTATGTAGGGTGAATAATTTATGTAGTAATCTTTAAAACAATTAAGACATAGGCTAGTCTTATTTAAACATACCTGGGAGGTATTTTGTTGGGAGACAATTTAGTAATAGTCTCCCGTTTGCTTTGAAACACGCATCGTGAAAATGTCTAGAGCACATAAATCCACTACGAAGTTTAAATTTTTTCAATAGATGCTCACATCCAGCCCGCCTCATCCAAATGCTTCTCAGCTTCTCATTTCTAGGAAGTGAACACCTGAAAATATTGTGCTTTTATTGTGTTGTAATTTGAATACGAAAAATGTACGAGGCTATGCACCATGTTGGCGTCCTCCAGGAATCAATATGTAAATAATTCTAGTAATACGAAAGCTTACCGTTTAGAACACATATCATAACACTGAGGCACACAACAAGATCTTAAACTCATTTTTTAATAAACTATTAGTCGCAGAGGGCAAAAAACTTGGGTAGGAAATAATGCCTTTCTCTGATGGCGGTAAAGACGCTTCGCAAAAAATGCAAATCAGCGTATTTGAAATCAGCACCCACGCTGTAAACGTCGCCGTGGCACCCCCTCGGGGATCTTCCGTTCATTTATGAGTAAGTTGACTCGTAAGCAAGGCCTAGGTGGCGCTAACGACAAGCAAAATCTTGGTCTGGCCTTGACTATTTGAGTGAGACCCCCATCCCATGACAAACCCATAAACAACAATGGGGAAGAATTATTTGACATTTGACTTGCGTTATCGCATTCATCCACAGAATATTTTCCTACAGTGGGTTATTTTATGATTTAATCTGTAGCTCTTTATGGTCTGTAGCGCCTCTGGCGATTATGAAATCAGTCGTTCTCGGTTAGGTTTTTAAGTGAGAGTGCCCAGGGATGCCAGAGACCCTAACTTTGACTGTCAACCAGCGTTGCCAGACGAAGAACTTCGAAAGCGGTAGAACGGATAGGAAAAAAACCGTAGATTTAGAAATAAAACGGTAGATAATTTATTGTCCCCAAATTTCTGTTTTTCGATTTTTTTAAGTGGTTTTTGACGGTACTTATGAAACAAAATCGCCTTTTGAACAAAATGTTTTATCAATAACTCAATTTACATAAAATTAAAATAAAATAACCGAGTTGTCTACTCTGTCGAAACTTGTCACATGAGAAGATAGATGGCACCATAGCTACCAAAACGACCAATGAAAAATAATAATTTCTTTGTACACATAGAGAAAGTAAATAATAATAAGTAAACCACAAAATATCCCCCTGGGGTATGTTCTGTGAAGTAAACTTATTTTACTTTCTCTATGTTTGTACATAAGTAACTACATAAGCCAGAGCTTGTTCTCTCGTCTCTCTACTCGTCTTTATCTCATAGAGAAAGTAAAATAAGAGAGGTGGCGGTATAATGTTAAAACTTGGAACCGCGTTGCGCTACAACCGGCTGACCGTCAATAACGGGAAGCTTTAACGGTAAAAACAGATATCTAGATTATCGGCTAGTTAGAAGCGGGAATTTTAAATTTTTAAAGGCACAAAATACTCGGGGTACCCGAATTTCGGTGTCTACACATGTTTTCTCGGTTATTAATGGTAATAGAAAATGTGCTGTTTACTCAACAGGGTGCAAACAAATTCCTATTTCCATTAATAATGAACCGAGACTCCAATGTGTAAGGACGTCGAAATTGTACCACTCAGAACACAATTTTGATCCAGATTTAAGGGGATCCATGACAGGGAATGAAATAATATATACCTAAAT